CTGTCACTATCGACAGATCAACACAAGTTAGATTATGCACCTCTTAGAATCAGTCACCATTTCGAATGAGTTGATAATTTAAAATTACAATACCACCAGTTTATTCAAATATATCTAAAGAAAATGATTCTTACAATGTTTCTACTTTATTAATATTATTAAATATCCATTGTTATTTATTACCAGGCTATCATGGTACAATTATAAAAGGAAACAGCAAATCCCAGCTGATTTGATTCCAACGTAATACTAGTGTCAATATGAATTTGACAAATTATGTTTTTAAAAATCACCCAACAGGAAAATTGGGAACGCATACCATTTGTAATTGTTCTTTATTAATGTGCTCTGTATTCAATTTACTCAATCTGCCTGCTGGGAAAGTTTGAGGAAGCAAATCTTTCTTGAAGGAATAACTCGCTATTCCAAGCATTGTCATATGTGTTACACATATATATGGCGATGGCTCAATTAAAAGAAAGATGTGGAAGTTTAGAAATATAAATTTGATAGATTTTCATTCATGTTTTTCAATTTTTATTTTGAGGATTCGAAAATATTCTATTTTTAAAATAAAAATAATTTGATGTTAATTTGGTTGTTTGTTTACATTTTTCTGTCAAATGAGTTGACACTAGTAGAACTTACAACAACAAATTTCCATGTGGTTGTTGTATCGTTTTTTGTACAACAACACTTGCTGTTACCTTTTATTATTATACCATGCCAGGCTATCTAGCCCATTTTTTAGCAGCCTACACAACATTGATTCTTATGGAAAATGTATATTTAAAAGTTAATAATTTAATATTAAGATCTAAATTAGGTAATATTATAATATTTTATCTTTTTCAAATTATTTTTCTTCTCTTTTAAATCTTCAATTATATAGATGTTGCATTGGTATTCATTTACCAGACCATTGAAAATCTTGAAAATACAAAATCGAGAATGGGGGGGGTTCCCTTAACACTATATTAGATTCTGATACAAAACTTTTTAGAAAAGTTTCCAAAATATATTACGTTATATATTTTACAAAAAAAAATTAATACCACATAACAACATTTTTGAAAGAAATCAAATCCCAATCTTTAAATATCTAAATATATGAAAAAATTGACTTGAAGCACATTCAAAATAAACGACTCAAATGTTAATATTTCCTTTACTCTTACTGTAACGAAATACTTTTTTCAGCGCAGAGCGACATCTTGTGACCAGTAGCTAATATTTCCTTTACCAATTGACGGCAGCTGTGTTCACTAAGCACAACAAGTTAAATATTGTTGGCAACGCGTGGCAAACTGTATAAGGTGATGCTTAAGTGAAAGTGTATGTTATGCTGAAACATTAATATTCTGAGCGTTTTAACTAACTATAATAATTATTTTAAACCATTATCTGCAATTTTTAACCTTGGCCATATTAGGTATTATGTCTTTGTGCATATGTTTGTAACAGGCCAAAGAAAACCAGATAGGCCCATGGTTCCATTTGAGAATATGCATAAAATATCTTTCTGAGTCGATTTATGCATGTCCATCAATCAGTCCGTCTATCCATATTAAATTGTGTGCAAATACAGGTCGCATTTCAGATGAAATTTGGCACAGACCACTTTTTTGACCCAAGGACGAGCCCTATTGAAATAGAAAAAAATCGACCCAGATTTTGATATAGCTAGCAGATTGAGGCACGAGAAGTTTTGTTGATATCGGTTCAGATTTAAATATAGATCCTATCGATCCGTCCGATTTAAAGTAAATGGTGCATCAAACTCCCAATATGTGTCCAATTGAGGCGCACTTTTACATAGCATATTGAATTGAGACTAGAATGCTGTCTGTTAAGCCTTCTGCGCTTGTTTGATTTATACCATGGCATAATTATTCAAGGTAGTCTCATGCAGTCATATGATTCCAATTTTTTCATAAAACTGCCTTTGACAGTATTCAGGTTTCAAAATTTAAATGAAAATATCTTTCTTCGAAATGTACGCATATCACATGTGCAGTGGCAAAAATTGCTAAATAATAATACGAATATTTATATACCGTCGACGCCTGTATATGAATAAATATATCACTGTATATGAATAAATATATGATATAACAACCATATTTAAATCTTGAGAGCAATGTTCTGCTTTAGAAAACATATTTTGTTTAATTTATTGAAAATATGCTAATCGACATACATACAACTTTATGGAAATTATTTTTAGTGTTATTAAAAATTGAGTTCCAAATTAAAAAGGGTTGCCATTATCAAACTCTCAAATGAGAATATCTTCTGTAATTATGCCATGGATTTATACGAAAGTTTGCATAGTGAATGCAATTCGGTCAAGAATAATGTAAGTTTTGTTTAAATCGGTTCATATTTAGATATACCTCCCACATATATTTTTCTTTCGATTCTATGCAAATGGTGCATCGAGGAGCCTATGTTTTTTCGCTTAAGGGAACCCCCCCCCCCCCCCCATTCTCAATTTTAATTTTTCAAGATTTTCAATGGGCTGGTAAATCAATACCAATGCTTGTTAAGGTTTGTAACTTTGCACATATATAATTGAAGATTTAAAAGAGAAGAAAAATAATTTACAAAAAATTTTTGTTATTGTTTTGTTGTTGTTTTTTGCAATTAAAGAAAAGTCCTTATTTTTGATGGCGGGCATGATAACTCCTCACTGGAACATCGGAATCCGAAAATTCCAACGGTGTTAGAAAGAGTACATGTCTGGCTCTCGTATGAACTAGGATTATAGACTTCGCTCTAAAATTAACAAAATGGTGGACCTTAGAAAAAATATTTTTGGAAAATCGCCGATTTTTTACTAAAAACCAAGTTAAAAAATAAGGAAGATCTTCACCGATTGGCTTTATCCTAGTTCATACGAGAGCTACACACTCCCAGAGGAACGTTGCAAAATTTGGAACCGATTGGGTTATTAGTTTTTGAGTTATCGTGCCCGCCATTCGCAAAAAAATGTTTAGAGAAAAACGCGTTTAAAGTTTGAGAAGCCCTTCAGCCGTCACTTGATGCTGACACAATAAACCGGCTATATCTTCAAGAGTTCTTGAGATTTTCACTTGAAATTTTGTAGGGACATTCTTTAATTAGTGTAGATTCGAATTATATCAACAAAAATTTTGACCCCGAGAATGGGGGGGGGTCCCCTTAACATGAAATATTGCCAAGCGTGTTGGATTGAAATCATGTTCATGTTTAGATATATTTTCCATATACATTTTCATTCGATTTCATTTAAATGATGTACCAAATTTTTCCGATTGGGACGAATTTTTGCCCAACGTGACAAATTGAAGCTAGGATAACGTGTATTGGGTTTTGTAAATTATATTCAGATCTAGACATAACTGCTCTATATTTTCATCTGAATTCATTGAAATTGAACACCAAATAATAAACGTTTCTTGATCGAGATAAATTTTGAACATCGCCCTGCGCTGCTGTATACCAAATGCTGAATGACACGCTTGCTCAAATACGACCAGATTTCCATATATCTCCCATATATAGTTTTGCTCCATTTCATACAAAAAAAAACCAACTCTGTACGATTGACATGCAATGTGTTATAGATTTCAGAATGATATGTATATTGGTCGATTTTAATTGATTCTATATCTATGTAGATCACATATTTAATTTCGTCCGATTCCATTTCAATGGCCCTCAATAGATGCTATTAGCGCATTTACATACGCACTTTATATGAAGTGGATTTACGAAATCTTGAAAATAAATTAAGTCTTGAGAAAAAAGTTGTATTCAGTTGGTAGATGTGCCCATGGTATAATTATTACAAGTTAGGGCACAGCTACCAACTGATTACAATTTTTTCCCAAGGTGGCTTGTTCCATCAAATCAAAATAGATATTTTGTGTATGTGTGCATTGTTTTGAATACGATGTCAAATAAATTCAAAATAATTTTAAATATATTCAAATTTAATTGAAATTAAAATGTCGCTTTTAATGCATCAGTCTGGAAGTAATTATTTAGTAATGGATGCAACAAATATTTCATGGTATTCCCTACTGCATTTTGGAAAGATTTCATAACTTTTTATTCATTTTCCGCATTTTTAGTTATGTGTTGAAAAAAATGTCTAATAAGCCAAACCACTTGTAGCGAATATTTATTTTATATTTGGCATAACAAGTAGGTGGTGGACCTACTTAGTTGCGTTATTCTTATTCAACTCAATCTGCCCTACCTTGTATTATTGTACTATGGCTATGGCCTATATTGTAATAATTAGTCCTGATTTATATTAGGCGAGTTTACTTGCGGCAATTTTTATCGTTCTCTTTTGAACTTGCTCCATGCGTCTATACAAGGCAATTCGGTTTCCAAAATATTTTTTTATTTGTTGTTTTTTTCACATTTAAATATATATAAAATGTCAACAAATACGAAATACACAAAACGAATTGCCAGAAAATTGTCGGTACGAGCAATTTTTTTCATTTCTATACCCCTTGCCCCTCTCTCCTACAAACAAAGACTTGCCGCAAGTAAACTCGCCTAATCTAAATCAAGACTTATACCATGGTATTTTCCCATGTTCAAAACAATTTAAAATTTTTGAAAGAAAAAATTAATATCGATAAGTAACAGAGCTATTACAGTCAGACAATAAATTTCAACAAAAACATGGACTCCGAAAACGAATTTTTAAAAGAATTCCTATGTTGTTATGAAATGCAACGGTATCTCTGGGACATAACCAGTCCAGAGTACATGTCACGTGACATTAAAATGAAATCGTATGGAAAACTGCTACATAAATTGAAAATGTATAAAAAAAAAATTGTACTGTGGACGACGTGAAAAAGAAATTCAACACACCGATAGCATATCAACACTGAGGAGCTGGTTCAGGGACTACGTCTGCAGTGGGCCAAGAACAAGAAACATGTCAACAATGGCTATCGCCTGGAGAAACAAATGCGCTACAGCTGTACTTCTATAAGTCCATCAATTTGGCTGCCTGCATGAAGGAGAATTTCCAAGATGAACTTGAGTCGTTGGACTTCAGAACTAAAGCCGAAGAGGGACGCATGGAAATCAACAACTGGATTGCAAATGTAACATGCAACGAAATCCCCGAAATATTAAATCCCTGTGATGTTACCTCCGACAGTCAAATGGTTTTGGCTAATGCTGCCTATTTCAAGGTTCAATGGTCGGATAAATTCGATTCCAAAGATACAAAACATGAGGCAACCCATGAGGCAAAAACGTGGAGAATTTGGAATTGGTACCGATTCTACGCAAATTGGGCATCAACAATCTGTTCGAGCATACTGCCAACTTGAGTGGCTTCTCCACGGAAACAAGCCTGATGTTTGGTGATGCCAAACATGTCGCCAAAATCAAGGTTGATGAGGAGGGCAGTACTGCTGCAGCAGCCACAGTTGTTTAAAGTTTCCGTTCTGTCCCGCCGAACCAACCAAATTCGAATATAATCATCCATTTATGTTCCTGATCTATGATAATACCGCCAAGGCTGTACTCTTCACTGGCATTTATCGTGATCCCAAAACACAAAAGTAGACAGGCAAGGAGATTCTTTCACATTTCCAAGGTGTATTTAATAAGGTGTATGCATCAGATACAACAACAAATATTTTACAAAAACAACATTGTTGTTATAGAAATTAAATTGTCATGCTGACAATAAGTTTTTGGCAAAAATAAACAAATATAATTATTAATTTATTTTTGTCAAGAACTATTCTTTGAGGAATAATTAAAGAATTTGTGTATTCTTGGGTTATTAGCGGTTTTAGCGGTAAAGTTTAAGACCTGGTCGCGATTAATTTTAAGTTTCCCACATACAGCTCATGGCTCCGTGTGATGTTGTTTATATTTTGAATTGCAATCTATTTTTTCTGTGGAATGCCTTCAAATCTTGCCTTTCACACATAACATAAAATATGTGGACCAATCGACGAACGGGGTTATAACAGATTTAATCCTAGGTTTCCTTTCCGCCCGCCTCTATGAATGTAGTTTTCTTAAATTTTTATTATTAAAAAAGCCTAAATTTAAAGACCATTTTTGAAATTGAAATGTTATTGACAATTTACTTTACAAACAAAAAAGAAAAAAGTTTGAAACCATATGATTGTCACTTACACCTTATTAAATACACCTTGCACATTTCTCTGCCCTAGGACTTTTTTACTCGTCTCATTTCCATTCTATTTGTTTGTTTATTCTTCTTCTTTCAATTTAGTTTCTACTGCTGCTGCTGCTAATACTAAGACATTTGCCCTATTCTCTCTGTATATTGTTTTATTTATAAAAATGAGGACGTTCTTAATTTTCGTTTTATATGTTTTATTTTTAATATTAATTTTTGTTTTGTTTATAATAATTATTTTTATTTTATTTATTTATTTTTCTGTTTATTTCGAATAAATTATAATAATAATAACAACAATGACCGTTAGGGTAATTTATACAACAACAAAATGAAAAAAGGAGTTAGATACATGGTTCTTTTTGAAAACATGCGCAGAATCACTTTCTGAGTAGATTTATGCATGTCCGTCGTCTGTTGATGTTAAATTTTAAACAAAGTAGGGGTCGCATTTATGATCCGAATGACAATTTTGAGCGAATTGTATTTAAGCTGATTTATAAAAAAAATCGCCCATAAAAATCCACATAATGGTCAACAACAATCTCACAAAAAAATTGTGAGACCGAGATTTCATTAAGAAACCAATAAAATTCGAAGCCTATTTTTGATTATTATTATTAAAAATTCACATCCAATTTTGTTATAATCCATTTTTATCCATATTTCTTTTTTACGGCGTCTTATTAGCACAATTTATAAATTTGAATGTCGGTTTGAAAAAAGACATGAATGAAAATATGGCCGCTACAAACAACACAACAAAACTGTAACAACCGATAAGTTATCGAAACTGTCACTCAAAAATGATAGTGTGTACACCGCTTTATTCCTGCTTTTTCACATATTTTAATATAAAATTAAACATCTAATTGAAATAGACTCTACATCCCACTGTGCTTCGGTTTTAGTCAACAGCTGTTTTTCTATTCTGTATAGCGTTGCCATCTTGTAAGATACATTTTGTAAACATTGTTTTTGTTTAGAACAGATGGAAGCAATAATTAAATAAATATTGAATTGTTTTAAAGAATTTACAAATAAAAAATAAAATTTTTATTACCAAAATACAGTTCAATTTCAATAAATCCATTAATTAGTAAAATACTGCTGTTATCACAAACTGACAACAATCTGCTACGTGAATACGCTAAGATTCGTGGCAATCTAATTTTAGCCACAGGAGAAGAGCACCGCGGTAGAACATTTTTGAAGAAAGTGACGGCGAGCAAATCATAATTGTTGTAATCTAGTATTTGTTGTGTTTATTTGCTATTGGTTCCAATTGTTTATCTCGTGGGTTGGTGGTGTCAACAAGTGTTTACTCATTTTCCTCGACGAGGGTACAAAACAACTTAGGCGGCAAAAGCACACACCTTAATACAAAAAAGCCAAACACATACCGCAGCCAAGGTTTTGCCGGTTCCTATTATTGTTGTTGTTGCAGCCGATCTTTGTCAACAGGTCACCCGCATAGGTGTCATTATTACGCTACTCTATCAAAAACGGAAAAGAGAAGAAGAACCGTCTAATATTCTCCCAACAAATTCTGGCAAATTAGTCGTTCATCGAGTGCGTTTGTTTTTCCTATTTTTTTTTTTTTTTGCTTTTGCTTATTTTGGACTGACACATTCTCGCAGAAACAGAAGACCACAACAGTTTTACTTGTCTCTGGTGTTTGAAGAAAATTGTCGTGGACACATTTTCTTTTTGAATACTATTTCGGAAATTGTGGAAAATCTATTTAACAAAAACACGAAATTATGTAATTTTCTATACGTTTGAATTAAACAAATTAATTGAATTAAAATCGGAATTATTTTGGAATTACACATCCGCATCATACGCATCATGGATTTGTTACTATTTATAACAGCGGCAGCCCACATTGTATATACCCCCTTTACCAAAGTGGAGGAGAGTTTCAATCTACAGGCCATACATGACATTTTGTATTTGCGTCATAATTTCACTGAGGTCTGTAGAAATCGTTTGTTTTGAAAGTTAATACAAAACATTTTAATAATTTCTTTTCTCCCCTTACAGTATGATCACCATGAATTCCCTGGAGTTGTGCCGCGTACATTTTTGGGTCCCTTATTCATATCAATACTCTCATCACCATTCATTTTACTTTTCGAAACGTTGCATATCAGCAAATATTGGTCTCTGTATATAGGTAAGACATACGTGTATGTATATATAGCACTGCAACAAGTGGTAGAAAATAATATAAGATTGTTTTTAAATACAACTTTAGCCCATGGTCCTATTTTCATCACAGTTATTAAGTATTAACTTACGAAGTTCCAATTAAGCCCTCAGTTTTACAATTTTCTAAGTCAATATGGGTATTAAAATAAGGCGGTTGAAGCCCTGATTTAAAATTGATAAAATTCTCGAAGTCCTGAAAATCGACTGCTTTAAATTAACAAACGTTTTACCAAAGAAAAATTTTAAAAGAATGGAAAAATTCATAGTTTCCGGAGGAAGATTGAAGGAATGCTTTATCGTTGTAATTTTTGCCACAATGACTAATTTCAAAACTATTCGCGATTATTATGTTTGGCGTGGCCGAAGTACAGGCAATCAGATGAAAAATTCTGCTAGGTATTTATATGTTTTTCGAAGAAGTTTCCCCCATAATTAACCAGTAAGGAAAATAGTAAAGTCGGACGAACTTAAATATGTGATATTTATCTATAAGTGAACCGACTAACATCCATCCATACACATATCATCCTGCAACCTATGCAAAATTTCATTTCAATCGGGCAGATTTAGAGTCGTTTGCGTACAATGGGACTAATCGATATAAAGCAAACAAGATATAAGTCATTCGGTACGCCGCTCTGTTCAAAATTTAATCCCAATCGGACACCCGTTCGAAATATACATAGAATATATGTCTGCAATTGCAAAACGCAATAACGTCATTCTAGTCTCAATTAGATACGTTGTGAAAATATTCGTGTCCATCGGACAAACATTAAGAGTTTGGTACACCTTATACATTAAATTGGACGAAAAAATATATGTAAGCTATATCCAAATCTGAACCGATTTTCACGAAACTTAACACACATCATTCTAGACATTATGCAGTACGCTATGCCAAGTTTCATGCAAATCCAAAGATATATAGGGACTTTGGTACACCATTTAGAATATATATATGGGAGCTATATCCAAATCTGAACCGATTTTCACGAAACTTAACACACATCATTCTAGACTTTATGCAGTACCCTATGCCAAATTTCGTGCCAATCCAAATATATATATGGACTTTGGTACACCATTTACATTAAATTGGACGAAAATATATATGGGAGCTATATCTTAATCTGAACCAATTTTTCCCAATTTAATAGGGTACGTCCTTGGGCCAAATAGATGAGCTGTGTCAAATTTCATCCAATTCGGATCATAATTGCGACCTGTACTTTGTTTACAATTTAAAACCAACAGACGGACGGACTTACATAAATCGACTCAGAAAGTGATTCTAGGCATATTCTCAAAAGGAACCATGTATCTATCTATCTCGTTTCCTTTTGTCTGTTACAAAAATATGCACAAAGACATAATACCCTGTACCAAAGTGTGGTGAAGCGTATAAAAACCCGGAGGCCAGATTAAGGTCACATCGGGTGGAAAGTTACATTTGGTTAGAGAATGTGCCAAGAGATAGTCGCTCCACTCAGAAACATTTAGTCCATTGTGATCATCCTAAAATACTGTAAAAACGTTCTTTCAAACATTTGATGTCTTCTGTTTCGACGCATGGGACATGGACAGAATAGATTTTCGATCGTTTCCGTCTCCTCTTAATACTCGCATAGAGGGCAGAATTCCAACTCATTAATTACCCATTTTGAAAACTGATTCTGCAATTACCGATGGGACTAATCGATATAAAGCAAACAAGATATAAGTCATTCGGTACGCCGCTCTGTTCAAAATTTAATCCTAATCGGACACCCGTTCGAAATATACATAGAATATATGTCTGCAACTGCAAAACGCAATAACGTCATTCTAGTCTCAATTAGATACGTTGTGAAAATATTCGTGTCCATCGGACAAACATTAAGAGTTTGGTACACCTTATACATTAAATTGGACGAAAATATATATGTAAGCTATATCCAAATCTGAACCGATTTTCACGAAACTTAACACACACCATTCTAGACATTATGCAGTACGCTATGCCAAGTTTCATGCAAATCCAAAGATATATAGGGACTTTGGTACACCATTTAGATGAAATCGGACG